TGCATGTAAACAGTCGTCTAAACACGTGAATTAGACGTCTATTCGCACTGAATAGGCGCGCATAAGTGACGTGTGCATATTCCACCGGTTTAGTCGTCTATTCAGGTGTTATGCTTGCTTATTCTACCAGATTAGTCGTCTAATTTAGTAATATTGCAGTAGCGTGTCTCAGATTTATAAGTTTACTACGATTCAAATTCCCTGTTATATGCATGATTATTTCTAATAAGGAAGTTAGAGAATAAGAAACAGTTAAGATCGACCTAGAAATCACCCCACTCGGGCGCACAATACTAAAATAGACGACTAAACCGGTGGAATATACACACGTCACTTATGCGCGCCTATTCAGTGCGAATAGACGTCTAATTTACGTATTTAGACGACTATTTTCATGCCACGCCTATTTGGTGCAACAGAATGCTACTCAGTTCATATAGATAATAGAAAAATTCCTTGCTGAGAAGGTTCCAGAAAAACCCGTGGTTTGCTGTTGGGCAGAAGCTGGCAGCAGTGCTAGGTAATTTCCTTCGATCCCTTGATCGCAGAACCACCTCAACGACAACAATCGCCTCTAAAGCCCACAACACCGCAGACTCCGATACACAGCAAACACAACGAGATGATACACCTCCCCACACTCCCACCACACACTCTCTCAGGTCCTCACACACCCCAAGCACCCGCACCCATCTCCCCCTTCCCTCCCTCCTTCCTCCACAGAGCCACTCCACTCAACAGAGCACCACGTCTCGCATTCAGACTGTTAGTTTGTGTTGGCGTGTTGGCGGGTTTGTGTGTGCGTGGGGGAGTAGCGTGCGGGGGAGTGAGTGTGGGTGGATATGAGCGGGCAAGGTATGAGATCCCTAGCCTTTTTAATCCCGCTCTTGTCAGCATGTGCATGTACGAAAGTCTCAAGTACAGCACATAACCCACCCTATCCACGCCTCCTCCGGACCCCACAAACCATGACTCTTCTACCCGGTTCTAAAGAATAGATTTGCGATTTGCGATTTTGAGTGGGTATCTATATATCCCTTGAAAGAAAGAACTAGCTACCCACAGAGCCAGCCATATGCCCAATGTGTCCGTAACTCAGGGCTTGGTCCCGCCCTTGTCCCGTCCTGCCCTGTCCTGTCTTGTCCCGTCCTGTAGCCCATAGGTAGCAATGATCCATGCATGCGTGGGCAGAAAAGAAACCAAACGCCATTCCAGCCATCCTGAACACTTTGCCACTCAATCATCACCGTCACCATCACCATCTCCATCTCCATCATTATCCTCATCCTCGTCGTCATTCTCATCGTCATCGTCATCGTGAAACTCACTCCCACTATCATCCGAATCCCCCGCAAACCCCGGCTTGTCGCACGTCGTCCTCTCCGCGACGTCCTTGAGCCAATCCTTGACATTAGTCCCATACCGCGCGCGATACGCCACCTTATTCGTGTCGACGTCGCTGTCGGGCTGTCCGGGAGCCGGATACGGCTTGCCGCCATGTCCGCCATTCTTGGTAACCGCCTTGGCCGCGTCCGCCGACTCGGAAAAGTAGATGCGGAACTCGTCCCGCGTGTTGCTGAAGTACGAGTGGGCGGTGTTACGCGGGCTGCAACATGCCTGTGAAGCGTAGCCGATGGTCACGGCTTTGATACTCGTCGTGTCTGGCAGCGCAAGCGCAAGGTTGCGGAACAGGCGCGCCCAGCCGTCCTCCTCGGCACGGAGTTCGTCCATGTTGGCGCATTGGAGAGTGACTTTCCAGAGGTTGAACGATTCGAGCTTGGGCCACTTGGCAATGGCCTTGACGAGCGTCGGGCCCGGGACTGTGAGCATGCCGAGATCGAGGCACGTAAGGTTAGGCAGTGCGATGGGTGGGTCAGGGGCCGGATGGCCTAGCCACTCCAGGACAGGGGTGGCCAGCGCCTGGTCGGGCTGAAAGTTGAGGCGGAGAAGCTCGAGATTGGACGTATGATTCAGGAAGCGCTTGAGGTAGGTTGCGGTGACGCCATCCTTGTCACTGGACCTGCCATCTGACCAGTAATTGCTGGTAGCTATGGTCAGCAGCAGCTTCTTTAAGCCGCCCAGGACAGGAGCGACGTCCGGGGCCTTGTAGCCGCTGAAGACATCGAACGAGGCGGGCGCGAGCTTGCTCTGTTTGCGAAGGATGACTTCGATGTTCCCGGGGACGGCGTGGGCGCGGGCGAGGGCGTCAATGATCAAAGGGAAGAGGGTATTGGGCGAACCCATGGCCGAAGCGCCGCCGTTTGGATAGGTGATAGTCTGGCTGACGCCACAATACGACCAGCCATAGCTCCTCCAGGAAGAATTTGGACCGTCTCGAGGCCGGCCCTTGGCGGAGTAGTCTCTTAGCCCCACGGTGCGCAGGTTGGGGAGCTTGGAGAAGGCTTCAACCAGCATGTCGCGAGCTTGGCCCTTCTCAAGGAGAGCCTGGCGATTGAGATGTCCGGCCTTCATGTACTGCTCCGTGACTGGTAGCGAGAGGTTGAAGTCGGTCTGGTAGGCTTCGAGACCGATGATGACGTGCGACAGCCATTTGGAGAGGGCGGGATGGGAGGCGATGTCAATGAGAGCTTGGAGGCTGTATTGCTCAATCATGAACTGGCGTTTGATGAAGAATTCCTTGGCGAAGCTGTCGAAGAGAGTGGTTTCGACGGGCTTGCAGGTGAGGCGTAAGGAGCCGAGCTCTTCGGTAGTGAGGTGAGCTGAAATGCGGAGGAGGAGCTCGGGGGGGAGGTCAAGGAGGCCCATCGCGGGTAGTTGCGACCGAGGGGATGGAGAAGGTGGAATGGCGAAAAGATGTGAAGGAGACGGCGGGCTTGTCGATAAATAGCTTAATCTGAAGACGCAGAGGCCTGGACGTCGACGCGTGCCCCAGGCAGCAGCCGCGCTCGACTCGCGTCAGCCCGGGATGCGCGCCCGCCTGACTCGCCCTGCCATGACGTCGCCGCGACGCAGCAAAATCGCGCTTTCACTCGCCTGCACCCGCGAATATGGATAAAATCGTACTGCAGATGGGGTGCGTGCATACTTGCGGGTCGGAAACATGCAAAAAATAATCCATTGGCTTATGCGGATGTTGCGTTTGTCGCGACTTGGCGAGACGGCGCGCGAGGTTGAGAGGGAAGGTGCTGTGGGGCACGGGCGCGCTGCTGCCTTCGTCGAAGGCGCGCCGTCACCTGGTACGACAATGGATATAACAAGCCGCTTCCTCTTCCTTCCTCCAATCCCAACTCTCCTTCTCTCCACCATCTTCTTCCCTCTCTGCATCTGCCATTCTGCCCATCCGTTCACTGCTCCGATCAACCATGACCGACTACGCGAAGCTCAAGGTTGTCGAGCTGCGTGATCTGCTCAAGGAACGCGGCATATCCTCGGCTGGCCTGTCCAAGAAGCAGCAGATCATCGACGCCCTTCAGGCCGATGACGCCGACGCCGGCCTGGGCTCCGACGCTGAAGACCCTGACTCCAACGTCGTCAACCCGCCTACCAAGCGATCTGCATCTCCCGTCGATGGTGCCCCTGCCAAGAAGGCCAAGTCGTCCAACGCCAAGCTCAACATCCCGGTCGACGAGGGCTGCCCGCTCGCCGGCTATCGCGTCCACATCGGCCCCATTGACGGCATCATCTGGGACGCATCGCTGAACCAGACCAGCGCCTCGAACAACAACAACAAGTTCTATCGCGTTCAGGTACGTGCACTCCAATCCTCACCTTGGTCAAGTCGCTGACACACACAGCTCCTCGAGGGCCCCAAGGGCGACTACAAGACATGGACGCGCTGGGGCCGTGTCGGCGAACATGGCCAAAAAGCCGTCCTCGGCAATGGCAGCCTCGAAGACGCTCACAAGCATTTCGACAAGAAGTTCAAGGACAAATCTGGCTTGAAGTGGGCTGAGCGAGGCAACGATCCCAAGCCTGGCAAGTATGTCTTCGTCGAACGCAGCTACGCCCCCGACTCAGATGACGAGGAGGAGGAGAAGCCCAGGAAGAACAGCGTGTCGAAGAGCTCCGACTACGTGCCCCCCGAGAGCAAGCTCGAGAAGCCGGTTCAGTCCTTGATGGAGCTCATCTTCAACCAGCAGTACTTTGCCGCTGCCATGAGTTCGCTCAACTACGACGCCAACAAGCTCCCGTTGGGCAAACTCAGCAAAACCACTATTTCTCGTGGTTTCCAGGCTCTAAAGAACGTGGCTGCCGCCATGGAAGATCCGGCCCAGGCCAATCAGATTGAACAGCTGTCCAACCTGTACTACTCTCTCGTCCCCCACGACTTCGGCCGCAACCGCCCGCCTTGCATCAACAATTCTGTCCTGCTCAAGAAGGAAATTGAGCTTCTCGAGAGTCTGAGCGACCTCAAGGATGCCGACAACATCATCAAGAAAGACAAGGAGGGCGTTGAAGAGGTGCATCCTCTGGATTCCCGCTTTGGAAGCCTTGGCATGCAGGAAATGACGCCCTTGTCGACGGGCAGCGACGAGTTCTCGGCCATCAGCGAGTACTTGCACAAGACTTGCGGCGAAACCCATTACGTCAAATACGAGATCCAGGACATCTTCCGCATCGAGCGCCAGGGTGAGCTTGATCGCTTCCAGAAGAGCGCTTTTTCGAGCATCGAAAGCGACCGCAGACTTCTCTGGCACGGCTCGCGCGCCACCAACTTTGGTGGTATCCTCGGTCAGGGTCTACGCATAGCACCTCCAGAAGCGCCCGCAACCGGCTACATGTTCGACAAAGGTTTGTTTTCCTCTCGTTGCAGCAAGTGTGTAATGCTAACCTGACGCGACCTAGGTATCTATCTTGCCGACATGTCTTCCAAGTCTGCCGGCTACTGTTGCTCTGGCATCTCGGACGGGCACGCGCTGCTGCTGTTGTGTGAAGCCGAGCTGGGCAAGCCGATGCTTGAGCTCACGCAAGCCAAGTACAACGCGGCCACCGAGGCGAAGAACTCCGGCCACTACGCGACGTGGGGCAAGGGCCGGATGGGACCGCTGGGCTGGAAGGACGCCAAGTGCGTGCACCCGTCGCTTGCGGGCGTCATGATGGTAGGTTTCGTTGGTCTTTTTGTTTTTGCGTATGTGTGCTTACTCTGTTATGCAGCCGGACACGACACAGGCTCCCGGCTCGACGGGCATCGACGACTGCGGCTTGTACTACAACGAGTACATTTGTTACGACGTCGCGCAGATCCGCCTTCGCTACCTTCTCCGCGTGAAGATGTGAGGGTCTGTGTGCATGGTGTGACTTACTGGACACGCAGCGCGGACTGAAGACCGTGCACGGCTGGATGATGCTTGCTGGTCGACATTGATGGTTGTTGCTGACCGATGATGAGGCGTTCTGGTGCTCAAAATGGTGGGATCATGGGTATGCTGGTTTGCTTTCTCACTCGGATATCCAACCAGGGTTTCGGAGCTCCGTTACTTGCTTGAAGCTTTTCGCTTTTCTTTGCATTACTTATGGCGCAGCGCTGCGAGGACGCAGCGGAATGATTTCCTTTCTTTCTCTCTTCTAGCTTCTATATGCATGACTGGCTGTATGACGAGTACTGGACTCGAAGATGGTTTCTATGTAGGTTCTCTCTCGCTCTATCCCAGGGAATTAAATTCTTCTACTCTTCGCGATTGTTGTTGTTTTGTTCTTCATATCGAAATCCTGGAGTCATCGACCGTTGCCCGGTCGCCAAGTAGGTTCCTTCATTGCTCTGCCAGAGTGATGTATTTTTCTGCTCTTTGCCGTCACAGTTTCTCTTCTCCGCATTCCTCCGTGCAGAAAATATCGGTCGCACTCTTGTGCTAGGTAAATTTACTCGCTCAGTGGCAATGAAGCTGTTTCGTCTTCCTTGACTTGTCTCCATCTGCTTTGTTCCAATGAAGTCTTGGCCGGGAAACAATGATCATCGTCCTCATTCGTGCATCTCCTGCATTGTCCGCCTTCATTGTTCACGTTCAAGATCATTGTCTTGCCTTTGCTGTCGGGCTTATGAAGTTGCGCTACGGGCTTCCATTGGGAATGCACTACTCCAAGACAACAAACTTCGGAAACACATGCAGGACATGGATATGCCTTCTGGAATCTCTGGAAACTTGATGGACGGAATGGATAAGATTGGCAACGTGTCTGAAGACTCGTTGGAGGGGATCGTTACGCCTTCCGAAACGTCTGGAACATCAGAAAACATAACGGACGGAACAGACAAGACTGACGCTTCATTTTCAGATACATCAAACAGAATACCCACACTCTCCGAAACATGCGAAGCCACACCAGACGCCCTACAGCCATTCACACAAGACGCACCCACCCTCCTCTCCTGGTTCGCAACCCTAAACGCACCCGAAATCGGCAGCTATTTCTACCCCCGCCTAGCCAACTTCACCATCTCATTCATTCCCTCCCTCGACACGGCCAAGCTCGCAACCGCGCACACGACCCTCTCCGACGCCGAGCAACTCGAGCTCGTCCGCGCCGGCATCGACGCCTACTTCGACGTGCTGGCGCCGGACGACGACACGGACATCCGCGCCGCGTTCGCGGTGCTGTACCGTGCCTTCGTGGCGGAGCTGGACGAGGCCGCTGTGTGTGCGGAGCTGGGCGGGGGGTGGCGCTGTTGCCGCTGGGTGGAGGCTGGGGAGGAGTTTGCGCCCCCGGAGGTGCCCCCGGAGGGCTAGGGGCTGGACATGGTGCTGGGCGCTGTGGATGCGCTGTGGGAGGCGGAGATGCTGCTGCATGCGGGACGGGTCGAGGAGGTTAGGAAAAACTTGAGGGGGCTGAGGGAGAGGGTTGTGGCGAATTCGGAGGTGTTTGTGGGGAATGCTGATGTGGGGATTGTCGTTGCTGATGCTGCCACTTTGGATGAGGGCGGACTTGATGACAGGGTTAGGGCGTTGTTGGCGGGGGCGCTGGCGCAGGCGGAGTAGGTGTGCGTGCCTGGTTGTGCTTGATGGGTTGTGGTATGACTCGTCTGAGCTCTGCTGTTTCGCCCCTCGTGTACGAACGTCCATGATAGATAAGGTTGTTAAATGGAAATAGATTTTTCTAACTTGGCTGGATGACTCTAACTTATTTAGTAAGTTTGGGTAGCTTGTTCGTCGGGTTTCTCGTGTGATGCTGTCTTATTGGTGTTCCTTTTTTGTGAAGTTGCCTGTTATCTTCTCGTATCTTGCTCTGGTGAGCAAATGCGTTAGTCTAAGAGCCAAGATCACGTTTAGACGTGAAAGTCAAAGCTTCCTGTTATTTAGTTACATATTCCAAACGTAACGGAGGTTCAGCAGAAATGCACCGCTCTGGTCCGCCGTACTGCACTTATCACCCCTGCCTGCATGACCTGACAGTTGAAAGTATTGGTAAGTGAAGGAGCACTGTGGCGCTCTCTTAACCTGTTCTGGATTAGCGCTGCCAGCACTGCGTGGGTATTTTGTAGTATATCCTTGGAAACTCCCCTTTCTACTACACTTCACTCCACAAAGTGACGCGAAATAGCAGCATGCGGTTTCAGTTTGCATACCACATCATAGTCCCTTTGTTAACACTGCTGCTAAGCCAGCCGACGACGGCATTGGAACATCCAATACTCGACTCTTTCCCCGCAGACAAAGCACCGCAAAGCCAAGAAGTCACTACCTCACCACCACGCGAATGGCACGAGCCGCAAGACTTCGAAAATCTCGGAGTGGCCACGCTCAGCGAGATGGACGCGCCGGAACCGCATTGGCAGCAGTGGTGCAAGGAGCACGAGAAATTCGGCTTCGTCGTTTACCGCTCCGCATATAACAATATAAGTGACGCCGAATGGGCAGAAGTGAGAATGACGGTGTTGGGCACCTCGATGCAGACTTGTGGCCCTGACTGGAGGACCAGTGATGCGCTTCCGAACGCGCCGAGTCGGGTGTGGTTCCAGTGGGTTGAAGACCGGGCAGCACTGGAGGGGAAGGGGGTCGAGTTTGTGCGCGAGTGCGTAGCTTTTTGGTGTAGAAATAAAGGGTATTTGTGTTGCTGACCATGCTGTACAGGCATTTCGCGCGTATCGCCACCGTCCACGAATACTACACCTCCGGCCCTCTGAACCAGAGCCTCAACTGGCCGAGCGAAATCCTCCAAGACGCGGTCCTACTGGTCGACGAAGCGGCGCTCGCGTCAATCCAGGCGGCGATTAGAGACCCTGAACTCGATCGCGAAGCTTGGCTGTGGGCGATTGATCCTGGCTTTGGCATGCAGGACTCTTTGTGCGAGAGCGATCCGGACTACTGCCAAGAGCATGAGCCCGGGTATGAGGGCTACTATAAGGTGCGTTTGGAGCGCCTCTTTGAAGGGTTCTACGATATGCTGCAAGGCCAGGTTCGCGATTTTGAGTTTTTGGACTACGATCCTTTTGAGTATCGTGAGAGAAGTGGGTGTTGGGGTGACGAAGAGGTCGTTTAAGGATTAAGAGAAATCGGAACTTATTTCTTCTTCCGTTGTACGAAACGCTGGTGGTGTTTCCGGCTTCAGTTCAACCTATGGCGCCATCTTCACATGATACAAAGGATCATTGTGGCGTCTTTTTAACCTTGTTTGTCTTAGCATTGCCAGCACTGTTGCTTGATGTAAGAGTAAAGCCGGCCACACTTTTTTTTAAAGATTCACATTCCCGCAACACGCTTTTTTCTCCAGCGAAATTTCAGTGTTTGCAACATGCGGCTTCCGCGCATTCTCTGGCCTCGCGACTTGGCATCCCAAAATCTCCGTCGAACTCTTTCCTGTCATCAGCGTCTACACACCATCGCACGTCAGCCACGTCTTTCTATTCCGCAACCATACCTACGAACCAAATGCGCTCTTGAACCAACAATTACAGGCAATCATAATCCAACACTCACACGCCACACCCACGCTTCGGCCTACAATGTAGCAAGACACTACAACATCTCGGACAAGTCCGGCGTAGCTACGCTGGGTGAGATGGATGACCCTCAATCATATTGGAGACTATGGTGCTCGGAGAATAATATGCACGGCTTCATAATGTACCGCACAGTGTACAGCACTAGCGACACCGAGTGGGAAGAGGTGAAAGCGGCGGTGCTGCGGCTTTCAGAACCGCACATTGGGGCGAGCCAAAGAGCTTTTGTGAATGATGATTCTATAAGCGAGTTCTGGCTGCAGTGGGTAGAGGAGCGACCGGCGCTGAAGGGGAAGGGCGTGGATTTTGTTAGAGAGTAAGCGGGATTCTCTTTCTTCCGTTGTGTTGATACTGCTGACACAGCAAAGGCATTTCGCAATGCTTGCTGGGGTAACCCCTGATATGAATCGTTCGCCGGACCGGCTACCCGATTATTTTGTGTGGGGCGCTGCACTGATGGTTGATGAAGCGTCCTTGGTTTCTATCCAAAGAGCCATCAAAGATGCATCCCTTACGTACGAGGTTTTTGTCTGGGCTGTTGACCCTACTTACGGGCAGTGCGATGGCGAGGACTGTCCATATTATGAAGACGGATGTCAATGCGATGAGAAAGACGAGTATTTAGGATACCACAAAGTGCGGATAATGGAGCTCTTCGGAGAGGGTTTCTTTGCCCTTAACCACGGCGTTATTAGCGAGATGTCAAGATACTCAGATTTCTTTGATGAGAACCCTAAATCCAAGACACAATTCAGTTAAGAGAATGCCGTTACGGGTTAGCTAGGACCTGAGATAATCAATGCACAAATCAGTCCAGAGAAAACAATGCTATCAGCAACTATCGTCTATGAGTTAGGTGGTTCTGCTAGCACGTGAGGAGGATTGCGCCCCTACGCAATTAAAGTGAAGCCCCCAAATCCGTCTATTTACTACATACGGACTAGCGTGAATATTAGCGTTAAAACTGGCGAAGCGAGTCCGCATCCCCACCCCTTAAACTCTAACTATCACTGATTGGAAACCGCATTTTCCCAAGTCCACGGTTTTGGAAGAACCTAAACTTTACGTGGCGTATCTACCCCAGCTGCACCCGGCGATAACCCAACTTAAAACACCATGGAAAATGCTCAAGCCGCACCCTAATCCGGCCACCAACGCCGCCCCCAGCCGCAGCTTATGGGCTTGCATCCAGCCCGCTATCAGCCCCAAAACACCCCTGAGCTAATTATAATGCAGTTAATGCGTTAATGCCTACGCTGATGCAGAATATATATACTCTCAAGAATAAAGCTTCACTTTAAAAAATCCCTACCCAGCAATCGCTTGCTTCTCGCTCCTTCACCCACGCTCACTCCGCATATCTCACCACCCACCATCACTTTCATTCGTGCATCACACTCTACAAGCATGAAATCAACACTTACCCTCACAACGGCGGTGCTCCTCGCACCTCTCGCAGCCGCTCTTCCCAGACACTACTACGCCTACGCGCAAAATCCGGAGTAAACCTCCCTCTCCACAACCCAAACTCAAAAACCCAAAACAATCCAACCAAACTAACCCCAAAAAAGCGATCTCGGCGTCACCCCAACAGCCCTCACAATAACAAAAACCCTCCCGCCGACCTTCACAGCCGTCACCCTCGCCGCAACAACAACAACCATGGCGATCGGCGGCCAGTTCCGCGTGTACACGCTGTCGGACGTCAGGAGCGTCACTCTGGGCGCGAGAGAGGTCGTTGTCACTGTTGTGCCGACGCCGACTATGACGGCGGAGGCGGGCGAGGAGAAGAGAGCCGTGCTGATGGAGATGGAGGATTTGAAGATGCCGTTGTTTTCGACTGCTGTGCCGACGCCGACGGGGACGGGGAGGAGGAGAGACGTTCTTGTGGATGGACTGCAGGGGGGTGGGTTGATGGAGGTGCTTGATTAGGTTGGGAAGGTGGCTTGTGTGTGTACGAAGGTGAGGGAGTGTAACGCTTAATGGTAATTTTAATGATGCTGGAGTTCACTTTCTGCAATGGATAAGTTTTCTGTAGGTATCGGGAAGTATCAGATTTTAAGGGCGTGAATGGTTATTGCTATTCGGTGTAGCTAGGCGACTTCTCAAGGGAAATCACCGAAGCTACTCGGATATTTCGACATATTGCTGCTTCTGCTAATTTGCGTCATCTCACGAACATTCTTATCCCGTGGAGCAGAAACTGACGGTTTGAATTGGTGAACGACCGTGTTAAGGAAGCTTTGGCATGGAAACTCTGTTTAAAGATAATGTATAGTGGTTAAAAACTGCCAATTAATCTTCAATAGAAATAATCTTTGTATTCGTTGTTTTCCGACCCGGAAAACCGGTTTTCGCCTCCAGTCCGACTAGCTACACAATAACAATCCTCGTCCTATTCTCACAAAGATCGCCTCTCCTAAGTCCCAATACATTAAAAACCCCAACACGACTATAATAAGTCTGATGGGACATCAGCACCAACCCCCAAAAGTCCTTTTCAGTTTGATGCGAGAACCTGACCCGATCGGCCGAGAGGACTGGCAGCAAAAAGATGCGCGAGAAATCCAAACTCTCAACTTCGGCGTCAATGTCGGGCGTGAAGCCTGCCCAGTATCTTCTTTTCTCAGAACTTTCCTCTCCAGTTTTCTCAAGGCCGAGGTCCAGTTGCCACTGAACTCTCCTAAAGACGTCTCTTCCGCGGTTGGCCATGAGCGAACAGGGTTGTAGGCAGCCATCGAGAAGCAATTTGCTGCCTTCAAGGACCTGACCCGTAGCTGATGTGTCGTCGGCGTGGGTATGGACTTCGACGTGGATACTGTCAATGCAGCATTCTGTGCGTGCAGATTTGAACCCACCTCCGCTACCCCATCTGTCATTGCTTATCGCTCCATCTATTGCACCCCAGGACCAAGAAGGAGCTTGATAAATTTCGGGTCTTTTCGTGTTTTCTGGATTCTGTGGGACCCAGAGCAGATCGTATGGAAGAGTATCCTCCCACAAGCCAGCGGTGTATTTGAAGCCAGAGTGCCCCTTGATGTTCTGCGCGATGGCAGAAAAGGCAATGAATCTGTCTTTCCCAAATGTCAAATTCCGTTCAGTGTACTGCTTTACGAGCGAGAGCCACAGCTCACTGAACTCGATTTTCCCGTCCCTGTCCTGCGGCGTGTGCACTTTTTCGGCGGCTTCGAGGACAGCGTGATACAGGCTTCTACCAGGGATAAACACCATCAGCTCTTGCTGCCGCTGGAATTTGTCGTGGTAGTTAGAAGAAGACGTAGGTGTGGCAATGCTCCGGGGCCTTCCATCAGAACCATATCCTGGCACGTTTCCCCACGGAGCGACATCGGAAGCGTCGCCCGTACGGCAGCTCCACGCGAGGCCATCTCGGCAGAAAAGCAGTATGCGTGGTGATAGTATCATCTCCTGGAAGACCCAGCCGCGGGTAAGCAGCGAAGATTTCCCAACAAGGGAGGTCTTATTCCTCGTAACGTTCCAGGGTGGCACGATGTATAACTCCTTTTTCGGGTCCTCCGATGGTATATGGAGTGGAGACTGGAGTATTACGTCTCGGGTGCTATAACAGCCGTAGTGTGGGTCTGGTCCTGCTGCTGCTGCGATGGTTACGTAGGCATTTTCGTATACTGATGCCATTCGGGATGCCTCTTTTCGCCAGTCTTCGACCGAGTCTTGCTTTATGCAGAGGGAGTCTACCCAAAGGTAGTGTAACCCAAGTGATCTTGTAATTAAGATCGCATCCTGAAAATTCCGTGGAAGAGTGTTGAAAGGGATGCCGGATGTTAAGTCGGCCTCGGTCTTCGTGGTCAGTTGTGTGATATTTTTTGCCCCTCCCCAGCAGTGGCTAAGAGTTGCATATTCTGAGTCGGTTTCTTCCGGAGATGTCAAGTGCAAACGGATTGTATCTGGGTGTTTATCATCCATCTGGAGAAGACGTGTTGGTATAAAGCTTTTTCGGTCAGCTCGAATTTTGCAATCTTTATGCTTCTCTCGACATTCATCAGTCCAATGGCGGGCTAGACCTTCATGGGCTTCTGACGATGTACAACTCGCATGCTGAAAACTGGAAACTTCTTTGCTGTCTTCAAAAGCTGGGTTTTGGAAGATTGGCGAATTTCGAAGGCTTCTTATGAAAGTCGGAGCATCATGCACTCTGATATAAGTGCGATTTACCAGTGGCAGAAATGCATGGAAGGCGATTTCGATGCCGTATGTCTCTGCGGGAAGTGCAGATGGAAGGTACTCCTTTGCGATCGTGCAGAAGTGGCAAGGTAGGGAAAGGGACTCGGTGAAGTCTGCGAGCTGTACGCGATATATTTGGCCTGTAATCTCTCTGTGTGGTTCAAGGAATTGTTCTTCAGATAGGTATTTGACGTCGATACCGGAGTGCATGTCCCGGCGGAGCGCTTGGATTTGCTGGAACGTCTCCATGCAGCGGTCGCAAAGAGAAAGACCTTTGTCATCTTTTGCAGGAGTTAGGTTATGGGCTTTTGTTGCCATGTTGTCAAGAGGACCTTCTTCGATTTTCGGTGCTGGTGCATGGAGTTCTGTTGAAGTCTCTTGACATTTTGGTTCATTTTTCTGTTTTCATGTAAACTGCAGGCAGCAGTGGCCACGTGTTGCGGAGTCAAACGTAAGATCAACGGCAGGGATATGTTATGCTGCTACCCTATGAGAGACTGTCAGTGAAGCACAGTGATTGGTGGAATATTGCCAAAGTGAAGGGCCAATAGAATCAGCTTTCTTCGAATATGAGCAACGGCCAACAGCCAATGAAAGAATCCCAGTCTTTTCCAACAAAGAATCAGAAATGAGAGGTGTTAAATTTGGATCGAGTAGAATGTCAGCACGAACGATGCTATTTTGAATACTGCAACCAAAGAGCGTCGTTCAAGACCCGTGAAGCGGTAAAGAAATATGTTTATATTCAAATGAGTGACCAAAACAGTTTGCAAAGCCGGCCAGCTACCAAAAGAGCGTCGTCATAACCTCACCCCTCCAGAGCATGGGCGAACCCAGTACCCACCCCTTCCATCCATCATCCCCAAAGCTATCTCCTTATCTCCACCTAAGAGCAGTTGCACCTGTCCGGGTGGGTGTTTATGTTCCAATGGCAGATGTTGCGATCGCTCGTGCACTGCACAAAATCAGCGCCATATTCACCCCAACTCATCCTCTATCAACAATGAGTAGTTCCGCAGCACTTACTTGGTCGCCGCTGGGTTGACCGCAATGGCATTTGTGGTTTGTGCCATGGATTTTGTACGTGCAGATCTGGCTCTGCTGGTCACAGGTCTGGACATCCGTCAGCTTGGCGAGCGAAGACAGTGATGGCTGGGCGAGTGCGTGGATGGTCGGGACTGACGCCTGTGTTGATAGACGCTTCGGCGTCTTCGGCGGCTTGGACGGCTTCGGAGGGGGCGGTGATGGCGGAGGCGAAGGCCGTGCTGGCGAGGAAGACGGCGAGGTAGCTGAGAGTCTTCATTTTGAGGTGTGGTGTGTTTGTGTAGTTGAAATTCTTGAATTGAGTGATGATTGAGGAACGGGAACATGCTGCTGGAGTTAAGAGCTCTGGATGCGAGACCGTCTGGTTTTTATACCCCTCTTGAGTGTTGTTGAGATGGTTGCAATAAGCACTATCCACTTGTCTGTTCTTCGGCATCCAAGTCTTTGACGTTGTTGCCATCTCAGCTCAAAGATGTGTACATACTAAAACCTAAGCATCTTGCTCTAGAAGCTTACGTTTTAGCCTCATTACCATGTGTTCCATCCTTGTTGGCACGTTAGTGGCTGATACCAGGCACGCGAAGCCATAAATCACAGCATGCTAATGTAAACTTCCGCGTGTGCTTATTGGTATAGTGTTACTGTCAGCTAGGACCACTCTAATAATATGCCTGTTGAAATATCAGGCCATGTTTCTTCTTGCATTACTCTCCATATTTATGTTGCTTTTTTTGTTGTTTCAACACCCTGTTATTCCCCTGCTACTTTCTATAAGCGAGCACCTGACTGCTCTACTCCTTCATGTATATAAAACTCGCTGCTAGACACTCTTAAAGAAGGAAGCGGCGTCCAATTCCTCGCGCCTAGCTTAACAGTTACCTTCCCCACGTTCAGTCATTCCACTTGGGCTGATATCAGCACCAGTGAAATGGATCCGGCGGTTTAGTCTTGTTGAACAGTGCGAGAAAGCTGGACACTGCTGTCGCATTGAATTGAGTGAAACTGTCTGCTTAAATACACGACTTCCCTTGGTAGAAAGGTGACTATCGTTCCACTAATAGGAGAGAATGGTATGATGTTGAAAAAGCAAAGTGATGACAGGGTTCGTGCTAAGCGAGATAATATAGTTATGGTGGTGATGGTTGACAAGTCTTGATTAGGTAGCCTATTGAGGCGATAATCAACAGAACTACTCATACCTGGTCTTCGAATACTCTTCTTGTCACAACAACTAGCTCTTTTGGGTATGAGTCCTGCTACCAGCACGAAGTGTTACTGCTAACCACTAAGAACAAGAGCTGAAACGGTAGCCCCCGGATTTCATAGTGCAAACCTACTTACCTACGTCAGGTATGCAAGACTGCTTCGATAGTAACCCACCTGGAACTTTTTCTACCAAAATTTTACTTCATTTATCTTTATTATCAGCCAGGATTACTCCGATAACTCTCGTTTTTTCGGCCTTATTATCTAGTTATTACACAACAGCCTTACCCCCTATACTATTCATTTATCTACTACAAGAAAGCAATAATCTCAAAGAGAAAACGTGTTCTTTTAGATAGCAGCATATATACCTCCATAGGTAGTAGTAATTTAGGAGGACAAGCGGCGTCTAATTCCTCGCGCCCAGCTTCACATTTATTCTTTCTTGATTAGCTTGAATAAAAAAAAGCCCTGGACAATTAGGTCATTCGTGTTTATTGTCCTTCTCTTTCAATTTTTATGGTCTACAAGCGTCGGTTCCTTTATTCAAAGGTGGGTAGACACTGCAGTGTACCTGAGATGACAATGCTTCCGGTAAGCACCGATAGGCGCTAAAACCATTAGCATTTCTCGTTTGATCTTTCAACCGGTATCTAAAAATATGACATTGAATTCCAATTCTTCAGCTTTTTGCAACCCAGTTCGCTTTGCAGAATCCAGTGCGCGGATTTTAACCTGCTGTACACAAGTAAGTAACCAACGTTATATCGCATCCTTATGTTGCTTAAGCGCCTGGTTCCGAAATGGCCCAGGTGTTGGACAGTTTGACAGTTGGACTTTAGTGCATAGTCTAAGAGCAGTTGAAACATGCGTCCACGCTAAGTCTGCGTAACAGATTCGGAACCATCGGAGGAAGTTCCTACATTGAGAACAGAGATGTTTCATTGGTCTAAATGGGATTTGACAGGTAGTGCTGACAGCGGCCGCTGACCTGAACCAACCGGACCCAAATTCTCCGATCTTAACCCAGCATCAGCATCTTTTCCACAGGATTGGACTTGTCCATTTACCTATTTGGTAGTAGCATTTCGACGTAAGGGGCTTCCTTTAATTGTAGCGGCGTGAAGCCGAAGAAGAGTTTGCTAAATGAGGCAAGCTCTCGTGGAGTCGGAGAATTCGGCTTCCCGTGCTTCCGACAGGAGCGTTCTACCGCGTCATATCCTCTCTAAGACACGACCTAATCTTTTGAGCTCTTCGTCAAGCCGAATTCGAGTGATGATGATGCAGATTCAGCTCGCCCAAAACTTATGAGATCATAACGCCTTCCGCTCATCGTAATTGTGACGACTAAAAGAACGAATGTCGTCATGGCGTTGATGATGGTTGATAAAAGAGAAACAGGTCGATCATCAATGATCTTGGCATTGCTTAGCGAGGATTTTTGATTGCTTGTGTCCAGGTGGAACGAGCGTTGAATCAGCTGAACAGAAGAGCACCTTGTGGGGAGTAGCGTTGACTAATCACACGCTAATCCGAAAAGGCAAACGCGATCTTGAGCTTCTTCAGACCTCCAACACCTCCAAACTCCAAACACCACCTCACGCAACAAACGAACCATCTTTGTTCCCGCCGATAACCATGCAGCCGTCCATGCAGCCACCCGAAAGAACCTGCGGGAGGAGCGACGCCGAGCTTGACCGTCCTGAGCTGAAGTTGACGAGTTGACGCTAACGCCCGTCGACCGCGTCTAGGCCGGACCAGCCTCAACCGGCCTCGCCGAGCCTCATTTCCACCCCGATCCTTCGACGCTCGCCAAGCTTTGCTTCGATCTCAACACCATCCGCTCCCCGCCTCGTCTCCACGATGATTTACGGCCGATGGTGCACGATTCGCTGCTTTCCTTGACAGGCCCGCTGTCAATGCCGTTCTTGTCAAGACCAGCACTAACTAGGTAGCTCCTGTACTGCGCCCCGCACACGACCTCTAACATTCAGCTGCACACTATCGCAGCCATGCGCCACAGGCGCCGCCATTGGATTTTAGTGCTTCTCCTTCACGATTGAGGCTGAGATGCAATAGGAGGTCCATGTATATAATCACTGCGCATTTTACCATTTTTTTTGCTGCTGCTCTCTAGCCCTCTGTCGCCACTCGCTGCTCGCCTGTCACTCTTTTGCTTTTGCTTTCCTGTTCGAGCATGAAGCCCACTCTCTTCGCGGCGATCGGCCTCTACGCCGCCGCCGCATCCGCGCTGCCAAGCCTTCCCTTCCGCCGCACCAATGAGTGTCCTGCCGCTCCGTCGTAAGTCACCGAATATTGATTTTGAGAGATGAAATGCTGATGTTGTGATAGTGCGAGTACCCTCACCCAGACCTTGACGCAGACGCTCACCCAGACGCTCACTGCCACCGTCACCGACGTCCGCACGACAACCTCAACTTCCACTTCCACCATCCACCTCCTCCCCACAACTCAAACTGTGACTCTCTTGGCCGAGCCCATCACTGTGACGCTCACACTTCCCGCACCCTCCAACGCCGCCTCGGGATCCGCTTCCGCATCTCAACTCCCTGCAATCACGACAATTGTGACAGTCCCTGGCAACCCTCGCACCGTTACAGTCCCTGCCGAGGTCCTCCCGCCGGTTACTGTTAGCAATGGTCCGGCTGATGCAGCAAGCACCGTTACCGTTACCGTTGGTGCTGATGCGACGGTTACGCAGGTCAGAACTGTTACTCTTGGTGGTGCGCCTGCGCAGGGCACCGTTGCTGCTGGCGCTTCTGACGTTGTTGGCGCTGTTGGCGCGGCGTCCACGACCATCATCTCCAGCGCTGCTGTTTCTCCTGTCGCCCAGTCTTCCGGTGCCGCGTCCCCGGCCTCGCCGTCAGTCGTCACGGTCCCCGGTTCTGGCTCAGGCTCTGGCTCCGGCTTTGTCTCCACGTTCCTGACGACTCTGACTCAGTACAGCACGATTACGCGCACTGTGCAAGCCACTCACTCTGTTGTCAGCATGCCCGGCTCGACTGTGCTTACGACGATTACGCTGCCATACAGCACTGTCACCAGCACGATTGAGGTTGCGCCGTCTGTTGTCACGGTCACTGCCACCGGTGTTGTTGTTGAGACCATCACAGTGCCTTACACCACTGTCAGCACCATTGTTGCTTCGCCTTCTGGCACTGCCGTTCAGGTCGGTTCGTCTGTTGTCACCGTTTCCGGCATACCTTCGGTCGTCACTGTTCCTGGTTCCACGTCCCTGACGACGGTTACCCTGCCCTCAGCCACCCTTGTCAGCACCGTCACTGCTTCGCCGTCTGTTGTCACAGTTTCTGGCGCTGCCTCCATTGTGACTGTCTCTGGCGTGCCCTTGATTTTCACTGTTCCTGGTTCCACCTCGCTTACGACGGTCACGCTTCCGTCCACCACGGTTGTGAGCACTGTTACGGGTGAGCCTGAGGTTGTTACCATCACTGGCGCCCCGTCTGTCATCACTGTGCCCGGCAGCACTTCCATTACGACTATCACGCTTGGCTCGACGACCATTGTCAGCACTGTGACGGCTTCGCCCTCTGTTGTCACAGTCACTGGCTCGGCATCCGACGTCACTGTGTCTGGCACCGCTTCTGAAGCCACTGTTACTGGTGCCTCGTCTGTCGTCACCATTCCTGGTAGCACCTCCCTGACGACGATTACGCTTGATTCCACGACTCTTGTCAGCACTGTCACAGCTTCGCCGTCTGTTCTTACGGTCACGGGTTCGTCGTCGGATGTCACTGTCTCTGGTACGCCAATTGTTACTACCATCCCGGCATCTACGATTCTGGAGACGATTACATCGGGCGATTTGAGAATGGTTAGGACCATTACTCTTACGCCGCCCTCTGTTGTCACCCTTACGGGCACCCCATCACTCTCTACGGTTACTCATTCAGATGCGACCACCGTTGAGTCTTCGGCTTCAGTTATCATCATCCCTGGGTCAACGTTCCTGACGACGATTATTTCGCCGTCCACAACTATCATCAGCACTGCTACGGCTTCGCCTTCCACAGTCACTGTTGCCGGCGCCACTTCGCTGACTACCGTTACGCTGCCTTCTACGACCTTTGTCAGCACTATTGAGGCTACCACTTCTGCCTCCGCTTCGGCTTCGGTGGATCCCGAAACCTCGGCTGCTACTATCGAGACCTCCTCTTCTTCGGAGACTGCTACCACTGCTACCGAGACTTCTGCCTCCACTGAAACTTCCACTACTTCTACTGAGACTTCGACCGCCTCTGATGCGTCTATCAGTGAAGTCTCCACGACTGAACTTTCTACGGTTGCCACTGCCACTGCCACTGCCACCACCGCTACCTGCCCTTCCAATATTGCCGCTCCTACTGGCGATATCCTCGGAAATGGTGGTTTCGAAGACGGCAGCCTCGGCATTTGGAATGCTAACGGTGACACAAGCTTCTACGTTGCCAGTGGAACGTCTCACGGCGGCTCATACGCGATGCGGGCCGATTACATTGACAGCGGAGACTTCGGATCGTACCACCTTAGCCAGCCCGTCGATCTTACGGCATGCGTGCAATACAGTCTTAGCTTGTGGGCTGAACACATTAACGGCCAACCGACTTCGTGCACCCTTTCGGCAAAACTTGCGTCGGGCGCGACAATTATTGGCGGCCAAAGCATTGATAGCGGTTCGTGGTTCCAGATCACGTCGGATCCTTTTACTGCTACGATGGCGTCGGACACCCTCTTCGTTGATATCGATTGTGAACTCATGGGCTTCAGTCCCGCCATTAAAACTACTGGGAGCTTTTTCTTGGACGATTTTGCTCTTACTTTTGTTGGAGGTGCTACTCCCACAGAGGCTGTCTCGACTGCTACTGAGTCTTCTGCCTCCACCGAGACCTCTACCGCTACTGACGCGTCCGGCACTGAGGTCGCTACCACTGAGACTTCCTCGGCTGCTACTACCACTGCTGCTGCTGCTACCGCTACACCGATCAATCTTCTTTCCAACGGCGGTTTCGAAGAGGCCACGATCTCTCCATGGAATACGTACGGGCGCCAAGACGGCTCAAAGATTGTCACTACTCCTGTCCACAGTGGCTCCTACGCGCTCGAGTTGGACTGGTCCATCAGCAGTGTTGCGTATGGTGGCAACGCTGACCAGTCCATTACCTTTATCCAGGGCGAGCAGTACACGTTCAGCATGTGGATTTTGCGAAAGGACGCGGACAAAAACAATTGCGACGCTTATGTGAAACTGTACAACACTGATTACATCGTCTACCAAAGCAATATTGGCGGCGCTGAATGGACCTTGATCTCGTCGGAACCTTTCATTGCCAAGACAGATTCCACGACGCTCCATATCGAAGTTGAGTGCACCTGGAGAGATTACTCTGGGGCTCCTATACCTTACTACGGTACCTTCTACCTGGACGACATCGCAGTGAGCCCTGTTGCTGCTGCGGCTACGCAAACTACCTCGGCTGAAACTTCCGCTTCTGTTACTGCTACTGCGTCTGACGACTTGACTGCTACTGCATCTGGCGACGCGACTGCCACTGAAACTACCTCGACGGAGGCTTTGACTGCTACCACTGCCGTTGAAACCACTTCAACTGACGCGTCTGCTACTGCTTCTACCGCCACCTCGACTGACGCTTCCACTGCTACTGCCGCTACGCAGAGCACTGGGACCGCCAACGCCGCTGCTACTACCCCTGCAATTACGTACGGCGTTCTGAACGGCGGCTTCGAGACCGGAGCCAAAGATCCGTGGACCTTCCCCGATAGGGATGCTAACATCGATGGCGACCACCACACCGGAAGCTACTCATTGAAGGGTAGCTTCGGCGTATTTGATTCATCGCCACAGCAAACGACGCTCAAGCAGACGGTGAACCTCATGGCAATGACACCGTATGTCTTCAGCATGTACTTTAAGGTCCAATACAAGGCCTTTGTGACTTGCTCGTTGGACGTTACGGTGAACGGCGTCCCGATCTTGTCGAATCCCAACGCTGGCGGAGATGACTACGCGCTTAATGTGGCACCGTCGTTCACGCCCTCGCTGGTGGAGAACGAGCTTGCCATCACTATCCAGTGTAGTGGTAATAACCTTTTGCCCCTGATCACGACTACGTCGTCCTTCTGGGTCGACGATATCGTTCTTGCCGCAGACAATGACGATGCTTGATTGTTTCGCTCGATTTTTGAGGTTGGGTTTATGGTGCATTTGTGGGGGTTCAGATAGGTGCTAGCTTGATGTTGTCATGTCTTTATTAATAATATCTGTGCCATGACATACATTTTGTTGTATTTATCATCTGAAGCCTTGTTTCTGTCCTTGCAAGTAATAACAAAAATAAGACAGAATTTGTTTTTCCTGGTTCTCGCTCCTAATGTTAACAACATACCTGGTCTGTCGGTAAACCCTTGCGGATGCTTGTAACTGCGTCGGAAATTCTCGGCATTGGGGCGTTATGTTAGATAGATAGGTGGTGCAGGATTGGTGGGCACCGGCACGGGCGTTTGTGCGTGGATGGCGTTTTCGAAAAGGTCTTGGAAATTGATGTATGCTTAGGCGGTTGCGGTGCGTGGATCTGAATGGAATTCACGTCCCGGTTCTTAGAGGGTTCTGGGTCGTGTTGGGTTCGTCTTCGGTGGTGGTGCAGGTTGTTGTTTGTTTTGCCGGGCGTGTCTATGCTTGTTATTGCTGCTTGGTTTGTTGCTAGTTTTAATGGGGTAGTGTTGTTGGTTTTTGGGAATGGTTTGGTTAATATGTAGGGTGCGCTTGTCTTTGAAAGCTTCCGATAGGAATTTAGAAGCGCATGTGTTGTTGTAAGTATTTTATTCACTCTTGGTGATAGCTTTCTTTCTATTGCTTATGCTTGCTATCGATCTTACAATTACGTATGCTTTTTTTTTTTTTTTTTTTTTTTTTTTTTTTTTTTTTTTTTTTTTTCTGTCTTTATGAGTGTCTGTATAAAGGAAAACAATATGTTACGTAAGGTTTTACTTGGATTTTTAGAGCCTGCATTATAGTTGCTTCTAAAAGTCCACGGTAATTCTCTATGGTGGGGTTATACTGCTATTAGATTGTACATGGGACAGTATCTATCTTCGTTATCGCGACTTTATTCTTTTCTTCTCGTGTTCTGTCTAACGTCCTGTCTGATGTTCTGTTTCTGTTTAAGTGAAGATGTTATTGGCTCGGACTTTTTGCAGGGAATAAGCACAGCCACTGCTGGTGGTATAAACGAGGCTTCCCTTGCGCCACCCCCGCACTGTCAGCTGGATAATTCTGTGTAGGCTGCCTTCCTTCCGATCGAACCGGAGAAAGGTTATCTGGTTTTGGTCAGTGGCAGGCTCGCCCTTGTCTTTGCTAGTCTGTTAGCATGTGAAAAGCTGCGTCTCGGTTAAGAATGTGGTTTGTCCAAGTTTTGCGACGCACCTCACATTCAGTAAGGCTGTGGGATGGCAGTGCCCCCTTCCCATTTTAGTTGACCGATGGACGACCCCATTACAATTGGGGCTAGTGTAATATTGAGAAATACGTATTGATAGTACCGATGCGTTGGCTTTGCAGTAGACGTCAGCCTTGGCGATGCTCAGCCTCACTGAAGCTCGCGGTTAAATTCCTCCCTGGCCCACTATCGTCGTCGGAGCGCGATGATTTCCAAGCCGTCTGTCGCCATTCTTAGCAATGTCTATCTACGCTCCCCTCGAGCAAGGCGAATTCCGACTCCTTAATCTGGCCTCCGGATTATGGGACGAGGATATCGAATGCGGACTTATTCAAATACCACTCAGATACAAACCCACTTTCGACGCTCTCTCTTACGCTTGGGGGTCCCCTGAAGCTATTCGATCTGTTGGATTGAATAGTTGAAACCGTGCGAGTGAAGAGAGAACGCGGCTTGATTTTGAAAGAGTGTCTGGCAGCGAGCTTTATATACATGAAGAGGTGGAGCAGTCATGTGCTCGCTTATAGAAAGTAACAGGGTGTTGAGACAACGAAAAAGTAAAGTGAATATAGAGAATCATGCATGAAGAAATATGGCCTGATAGTCCAACACGATCAATACTGGTGAACGGCAAATTACATCGGGTATCGGCGAGTGTGGATTTCGCTCTCAGGAGGCTCCGCCAGAGTTTTGGGGCGACTACTGTCTGGGTGGACGCTATATGCATCAACCGACTTGACAAACAAGAGCGAAACGAACAATTCAATATTATGCGCGAGATCTATATGACTGCTCGGCAAGTCGTGGTCTACCTTGGCGAGGTCCAAAGCCCCGGAATAAAGATGAACCCCCCAAAAAGAAGAAAAGACGCGCAAGTTAGCGTCTTCTTTCAAAGCAATGCTGCACCAAAATTCTGCCAAAATTACAACTATTCCACCAACAACCTCAGACTTTCAGGAAGCTCGCATATCGGCTACGCCTTTGATGCATTCCGTCTTATTCACTCCATTTCCGAAGCCCAGAGCTTGAAAGATGTCACTTTGAATGACATTAACTCAGGTGGCTTTCCTTACGTCAAGAGTCAATGTCGTCAGTTCGAAGCCCTTAGGCAGTTAATGCGTAGCCGATGGTGGGATCGGATGTGGACACTTCAAGAAGTTGTGATTCCCCAAAACTTGACTCTCATATATGGGTCATGTGTCTCAACTTGGAACATGTTCCTACAGGCTGCAAACAATATTTCCAATTTGCAGACTTTATCAACACCTACTCTCTTCCAATCCGATTACGTTAAGGTCCTTGCGTCATTCTTTCAAACAATCCTTGACATCGAGCACATGCGAAAACGTTGGGTGAGCAAAGAGGAGACATCTCTTCTTCCACTGCTTCGTCAGTTCAGTGGACGGAAATCAACGGATCCTCGAGACAGTCTACGCTCTGCTAGGCCTTGTCCGAAGCCAGCTGCCGATAAAACCTGACTATACGCTCGACGTCACAGAGGTATTCCAGGGAACCGCTCTAGGGATAATGAAAACTGTCAAAAACCTAAGCGTCCTAAACGGAGACATTGGGAGAAAATCTCGTCGAGACCTCCCTTCATGGGTTCCAGATTGGACTGCAGAATATCACGAACTTGACCGGCGGCGTGCTGACACAGCAGGACTATACCACACATGCCCTCAAAACTCTGTCTATATTGAATACGAAGATGATTCATTCTGTTTCAGTGGAACACGCGATCATCTATGCGAATTAAAAATGAAACAGAAAACTACTCTTGGGGAGGAATCCACAGTCGTCGATCAGAGAATTCAGAGATTCCTATATTCACTGGGTTATATTTGGGGCTTTGAGAATTGCAACGAGGTTCTCGGACATTCCGACTGGACAAAGTTTCTGAACCCGGAAACAAGAGATGCTGCGAACGATCTATCCGAGTCGGATTGTTTGCAAGCCGTAGAGAACTTCCTTATTGCACAATACGGGCTGGCCCATGTGACAAACTATCGAAATGGCGCACTGCGTCTTTCCGGTCACAGTTTGGGCACTGTACTAAGCGCTGGCCCGGTGCCTTTCGGAGAAATCGACCTGAATCCAGTCATTCAGTCTTGGATATTGATGCTTTCCAAGCACCTGGGGACACATGAGAAGTGGATTTCGTTTTTGACTACCTTATGCGCCGGCATTATCTACACCAAAAGCGACAGTTCCCCCCAGTGTCGACGCATCCGCCCAGAGGAGATCAAAGAAATTGCTATTTGGCTTTTCCACCAGCCGGATGCACCTTTGGGAAAGGATGAGGTGGCGAAAAATGACCTTCTTATACCTTTTCGAGTTGATATAGAACACCGTTTCAACGTGACAAACATTCCGTCGGGAAACCATGAGATTTTGGACGTTGGCTATAGCATACACATGGCAACGAGGCAACGCACGTTCATTGTAACCAGTGAAGGTGATTTTGGACTGGTACCCTCGCAAACAGCCGTCGGCGATTTTATATATTATTTACTTGGGGGATCAACACCCTTCGTACTTCGAAGATCCGGGTCTTACGACTTACCTATGAGTCCAATACCGCCATTTTCGGGTGGGGTGCAGACAACGTGCTTTCAGTTGTTTGGAGATTGCTTTTTGTACGGTTTTATGGATGGAGAAGCCATGTCCAACTGGAGTGACTTGGTAGCGACAGCAGTGTGCCGAACGGAACTGTTCGAGGCAGGCCGGGAGAAAAAAAAATTTCCGGCTTACTTTCAGAGCTATCCCAAGCCAAATATCGCACACAGAATCAATTAGGGACACCTGAAAGAGGTTCCCGGCATTGTAAAATCCACGAAGCATTTCTCCATTCTGGTGGCCTTGAGAAGATCTATCCGCAAAGCCCTGTGATGGAAGAAAAAACACTATTTCTCCCCCGACCATCATTACCGGAGTACTCTCGTGTCATGGAAGAACTAGATGGTTCTTATCGAGATATTAGTAGTCTCTACACGGACTCTACAATTTCTTGTTCATTACTACCATCGCAAATTATCCTTTCGAAAGAAGTTGGACGTACAATTGAAAGCAAAAGACGGGAACAATTAACATCATTTTACCAAGAGAAAGCAGGATTGAAAAGCGATCTTCAAGAATTTTTGCGTGAAGAAAAAGACGTTGTTCTTGGGGAAATACTTATAGAGACAAAAAGGGATTTTTCCTACAAACACAAAGTCTTAAGCGAAAAGCTTGATCGTCTGAAAGCCCTGGAGTGGATAGCTAAACGAGAAAGCGAGTCACTACACAAAAGGATTCGCAGTCTGAAGAACGAAAAGCAAATCCATGTTTTTCTTGTTTGACTTCTTGGGGGAAAACTTGAGTTTGGGAGAGGAACTTAATTTTCTTTTTTAATATGGTTTCCTTTGGGGAGCTGGCCTGTCCTTGTGTTGAGTTTTTAGACCATTATAGGTACCAACAATTTTCCAACATCAGACAGAGACCGCGAAATTAATATCTCTGGTCTCTGGTGGCTTTGGTCAGTAACACCTATACTTCTAATATTGGCGGTTGTTGCTTCCTAGTGGCGTCACAAGAGGACTAAAGAGCAGACATTTTTTTTGTTGAAATCATATTTGGATAGTACCGGTTCCTCTCCACCGGTGACGGACTCGGATGAAGGCAATGATCCTATGCGCAAACAACGAAAAATCTTGGGCAGCATGCAATTTCGACGCAAAGTAATAAAATGTGACTTGCCATGAATATCGCAAATCTTCTTTCATAGCATTTGCACAACTCAGCCAATGAGGTTGCTCGGGCGGATGGAAAGTCGTAACGAAGGCTTGGTCGTCGGTGCTAGCCAAAGAGGAGCGAGACGGACCGACTGACATCGCGTTCCCAGGTTCCCTGTTTACTGTTTTCTACCGAAGGATACGTGACCTTTTCCACGACAACCCGGACACAGCATCTGCGCATCTCTATTCAATCAAACCGTAAAGCCATAATGGCTGTCCCTGATTACAAGAACCTTCTCGAGAAGTTCGACGACCTGACGACACGTGGCATAATTCAATACTCGCCACCCCGTAAGGTGGAATTTGAAGACGACGGATTCACAGTAAGCAAAGCTCATCTCAAAATAAAAGACAGCGAGCGATAGTTGACTCATGCCACCAGTTCGAATTTTACATCACCGATGCGCTCTCAAGCAAGCCGCAAGCCGGGGAAGCCGTGCAGACTGAAGATCATCCCACCCGCTTCGGACCCGGAAGCGACATCCTGAACAACAACTCCGAAATGCTGCTAGCGAACATCAACTCCACGCACCTGCTTGTGCTGAACAAGTTCTGCGTGTTTCGGTCCCAGCTACTTCTCCTGACCGCCGACTCCTACCGTCGCCAGAGCGAGCAACTCGATCTTGAAGATTTCAAGGCCGTTTGCGACATTCTTCCCTTGATGGGCGATCCGCATATGGCCATGTACAATTGCGGCGCCAAGTCTGGAGCAAGTAGGCAGCATAAGCACATCCATGTTTTGCCCCGGCCAAGTCACCTTTTCCCTGATGACCGGAATTTTGATCCTGCGAAGATTCCTTTCCTTTACCTTCTTCAGTATTTGGACAAGGGCATCATTGGAAGCCGAGATGGACCACAAGTTCTCCTGCAAACTTATCAGGACTTGCTGGGGAGGGCGAAACAGGCATCAAGCAATTGCTCCGAGGATGCGGAGTATGCACATAATATTGTGCTTACGAACGAATGGCTGATTGTCATTCCTAGGAGCCGTGCCATTTTCGAGGGAATAGCAACGAATGCTGCTGGCATGGTAGGTTCTGTCTGGCTGAACGACGACATTCAAATGGACGACTGGAAAGCGAAGGGACCGAAAAAAGTTTTGCGTCAACTTGGCCTACCTAGAGTTCAGAATGCGGTGGGGTTGTGAAACGTACAAGAATAGAGGTTGAACTTGGTAAACAAAGCATGTAGAAAGCATACAATTTGCAAACGCATAACAGTACTTAGCAAACGATATTTGGCAAATTAATTTGTATTTTGAAACTCACAAGTGGCCTTTAAATTCATAAGAAGAAGAGAACGACTTTACTGTAAGTCAATAAGTGAGAACGGTATGAGAGCGACTAGTCGCGAGTAAGTCCGGGCGACCGGGAGGCGGCATCGAGAAGATCGCACTCGCATCCTGGAGGAATTTTCTGTTGTAGCTCTTCTACGTCTCTAGGATCGCCAATCCCGCCTGAAAGTTGGTTCACCGATATGAAACTTTCGGCATAGGCTTCGAGCCCTTCTTGGAGTTTTGCGTCAAGTTCGCAGGTTTGTTCATGCTGAGAAGGAGCGGACTCCATGTCTTGAGAATAGACCAATGAATGATTTAAGTGGAGAGAATGAAAGATTTCAAAATACAGGACGGTTTGGGATTTCATGAATTTTTGTTCTCGATGTTGTAAACTAGCATTCTTTGGCAAAGGGAATTGGATAAATCGTTAGTGCCTTTCCATAAAGGCGCTAAGATTTAGTAGTTGCTGATTTGCTCGCATGTTGCCTGGCTTTTTATGCAGTGTGACGCACTATCCTGGCACGTCAAAAACACGTCAGCTTTAACCCCGCATTCATAAGTTCTCTCCAGCTTCGCGACAGCATCAAAAAAACTCTTTGTGTTAAACATTTCGTTTTCAAATGGATCGCCCCACCGAATTATGCAGCATATGCTCATACCTGGACCCTCACAAGGCCCTACAAGAACACAACCGAACTTGGGTTTGGCATATTACTCCAGACGTGAACGGAGGCTTTGACAAGCTTTCATTAAGATGTACCTTCTGTACACTCATCAAGAAATCGTTGTCACTTGACCATTTGTTAGACGGGGCGGAAGAGTATCGGAGAATTCTGTGGAAATTATCTGTCACTGCAACCAAAGCCTTTTCAGCGCAGTACAACTATTTCTCCATGAGTTGTGCAAGAAGTGTCTCTTGGTTCCATCTTAAGTTGGACGACAGTAATGGTCGCCGTTTCCGCCAAGCCATCATCCAACAAAGTGATAGTAACATCTCAAAATACCCATTCGACCTTGTCATGTACGGTCGGTATATCAATGAACCAAAAATAGATTTTGAGATGTTAAGAGCTTGGTTGAAGCTATGCTGGGATTCCCACGGAGAAGCTTGCAAACTCATACCTCTGGATGAACAGTCTTCGAACCCACGGCGCCTGATCGATTGTCATCGCCGATGCCTCATCTAAAGTCCTCCCCGAAGTCACTATGTTGCTTTGAGCTACGTATGGGGCAAGGCGCGGCGATTCGGGCTTACACAAGAAAATGAGGCCAAGATGGAAAAATCCGGAGCCCTGTCTGACGGCAATGATGCCATTCCTCTGGTTATACGGGATGCAATTCTCGCGACAACGGAACTGGGCCTGAGATACCTCTGGGTGGATTGCATCTGTATTCAACAAGACAATGAATCCGACGTAAGATCCCAAATCGGCAGTATGGATATCATCTATAGCCACGCAGCATTGACAATTGTGGCTGCCGCCGGTGACAACGCCGATGATGGTCTGTCAGGCGTTAGATCCAGACGCAGGATGATGCCGCAGTACACCGCATGTATACAGGGCTTGCATCTGATCGGCTCCCAAAACAAAGACCACTACAGTCAAATCTCAGATAGTACCTGGGCTACACGAGGCTGGACATTCCAAGAGAAAGCCCTTTCTAAGCGGATTTTGTACTTCACTGAATCCCAAGCGGCTTATAAGTGCCAGGTTACCACTTACTGCGAGGATGCAATCCTAGAGACTGATTACAGACGGATCCCTGTAGAAGTGCATCAAGACCTTCAGCATGAACCCCGGCTTACCAAGGGGTGTTTCGAGAAGTTTTTTCGCTACGCAAAAGATTACACCGGCCGGGAGCTAACGTATGAAAGCGACGTACTTGATGCATTCAAAGGAGCTATGAATCTTCTTGAGCCCCGCGTAGGAGAATTCTTCTGGGGCCACCCAATGGACGGTTTTGATGACTCTCTCCTATGGAGGCGGAGCGAAGGCCGGCGCTTAGAAACCGCACCAAGGAGCTTCCCAAGTTAGTCTTGGGCGGCTTGGAAATCCTCAGGCAGTGCGACGTGGCCTGAGCCCTTTGATCGTTCCGGGCTTGACCATAACCATTTGATCACATGGACGAAAATACAACCCTCCGACGGAAAGTTTGTCCGCTTCTGCACAACGCTTTGGTGCCAAGCAAGACTTGATACCAGAAGGCCACTGGGAGAGATCGTTGATCCAGAAGAAGAGTTTCTCAGAACCCACGGCTTCCGTGACAAGAAGTGGCTGAACCCCACCAATATTCCGGACCTGCAAACTGCTCTCACCCATATTCTGTGCTTCGCAACTACCCTTGCTCCACTGACTGTCAAGGCTCGGTACAGAAATGGCATTGCCAGAGTGATCGGGCCAAGAGGAGGCTTATCAGCAGTGATAAACCTTGGACCGAACTGGAATCAATACCCAGAAAAGGAATACGATTTCATTATTATCGGTAGGACCAGTGATCCTTGGTTTATAAAAAAGCATCTGTTCCATCTCATGATGATTGAATGGCACAACGGGATAGCTTTTCGGGTCGGAATGGTTGATCCTCCAATAACAGAACAAGCCTGGCTGCTGGAGAGGCCAGAATGGAGGATCATCAATCTTGGCTAAAGGACTATACATTTTCATATACCTGATTGATACCAGAGCGGCATACCGTCTGTGCTAGAGCCCGCCTGTTACTTATTTCCAAAGCAAATTTCCATATCGCCTTCGGTCTGTGGTACACTGATGCAAGCATGTTTTTTGTAAATAATTTCTCTGCCCAGTAACGTCCTTCACCCATAAACGAAGTTCACCGTTCAGCGAAGTCGACCAATTAGAGCCCAATTAAGAGCGTGTCGCGTGGGTCTCCTCGATTGGACGATTCAGGCTTTAATTGGCCGGCTTCGCTGAACGGTGAACTTCGCTCATAGGTGAAGGACGTTAGTGAAATACAGTTTCTTTTCTCGGCTTCCTAGATTACTGTGGTACTGCTGGTACTAATAAAAACACATGATGTCCAAGAGAGCCTCCCAAATCCCACTCCCTATAGACATTCCAACATCCCACCACATAACCAAGACAAACCACAAGCACAAACAACACCAAACAACAAGCAAGCTCCTCAACGAAACCAGTTCGGATTCCAGATGCGTCTTCATCGTAACGAAATAGCTAGAGGTATCTAAAAGCAAAAAAACACAAAGAAGACAAGAGTGCTGCAAAAACTACGACCTTGTCACAAACTCCTTGCACAGAAAAAGCAGCAAACAAACAAACAAACAGCAGCAGCAGCAAGAGCAAAGCAAACATCAAGCAGTAGAAACCTGTTATGCATCAAGCCGCCACACCGCCCATGGCCACCAACAAACTCCATCAAACGCACAGTTTTCCCAGCACCAAAGCGCCCAACTGGCAACGCTCTAGAACCCCGCTTACAACGCGACAACCTCGATCCACTGATCGTCATCGATCTGGTAAGTGCCACCGCTGGTCTGGCTATCGTTGTCGAGGCATTGCTGCTGAATAGCGTTTGCGTAGGTGGCGATATCCGTGCACGGGTAGCCCATGCTTTTGATGCCGTCGCTGGCGCCGCAGATTTTGATCTGGGCGTCCGAGTGCTTGACGAGCTGCCGGCACTTGTCGCCCCAGCCGTTGCTCTGCGCGCACTCTGCCTTTGGCCGCACTTCGTTGATGACGTTGGTCACGCCGCCTGTGCTGGGGTTTTCTGAGCTGGAGCCGCACGTTATCGCGTCTGTGTCGATGTCGGGCGATGAGGCTTGCGCTGCGAGGGCGAGGGCGAAGACGGTGAGGACGCGGAGTGCCATTTCGGTTGTGGTGGTGATGATGATGATGTTGTTGTTTTGATTGTTGTGGTCTGCGTATTGTTAGCGGCGTGTGGCGGGTCAGCCGATGATAGGAGTACGTACGTATGGGGCAGTCGGCGTCGAAGGATGAGTTTTGGTGTAGGGAGTGGCGAGTAAGGCAGGCAAATCCCAAGAGAAAAAAAGTTCAAGTTCGCGTGGAGAGGGTGTGAGTTAAGGTAGTTTAGATGTGGCGTCGTTGCTGGTCTGGTGTGAGAGGTGATGACGATCGGGCAGTGATGTGCGCCCTGTTAACTACTTATAGGAGCGGATCTGCTCGGGTCATGTTGGTCTCTCTCCCGGCTTCGTATCCGGGACATTAGCTTGGTGGCCGTGCTTTCAAGATGAGGCTTCTCGCTCCATCATTCGCCTAGGGGCTGGCCAGATGATTGCGCCACTCACCTGCAAGGCTGCAAGACATACACTGTAGCGGTGGGGACGACGGTTAGAGGTAAGTTGCTTGCCTAGCTGGGGAAGATTGCATCTTAGCTCGCCCGTTTTATCGATGTCGATGTTCGCCTCGACCCCACGTCCTCGACCATCTTCATCACGGCTGCACGACCCGGCCAACGGCTGGACTTGCCACGCGACCATGACGGCCATTCATCAGACGCCATGCTTACAATATCATCCATCGAACCGCCTCATCAGCCGCAGCTCCGTCGCGGCGGCCTCTTCCTCAGGGGGGCCGTCCATGGCACCCGGCCGTAGCTTTGACCCCAGGAACCCCGGTACCGCCGATCGGCGCGCGCAGCAAGCTGAAACAGACGCTTTTGTCGGGCATTGTCTCGGCGGGGCAGGCCTGGCCAGACATCCCCACGCTCCCGTTCGGGGGCGCGCGCAGCAATGAGTGGGGCGCTTTGCGGGTTTCGGACGACACGGGCTGGAGCGCAGTCGTGATGGGCCGAGATGCCCAGCAGACTCGTTTATTATTATGCGCGCATGAAGATGGGGGGTGTGTGCGGGCACCATTCGTGGCGAAACAGGTGCGGCTGCTGGTGCGACGGCGGGCGGCGGCTGGTGGTTGCGGCTCTGAAACGTCGACCGTGCGCGGGTCAGCCGGATTCGCTTGCGATAGGCCGGGCTTCCTGGGCCGGCTGGGAGGCTGACGTGAGGCGCTTTCGGCTCATAAGAAGGGATTGAAGAATGGGTTGATGGTCGATTTCGCTTCGGAGAAGAAGATGTTTTGCGATGTTTGGTTGCTTTTGACAGGAGTTGCGGTGGTTTGGGGTGTCGCTTTTGTTCTGGTTTAGCTTCAAACTGCTTTGAGTTAGGCGTGTAATCTATTTCGACATCTGTCTGCTTTTGGCTTGGTTACGAGACCGCTTGCCTCAACATGGCAGCTTCAAAACGCGCTACGCTCGCTTGGGCCGCCCTTCCGTATCTGGTCCTGGACATCGGCTTTCACCGTTCATATTCATCTCATTTGTTTCCCATAGCACTTACTGGTCGATGTTATCCTATCATATAAATTATAAGAGGTTAACATATAGCCTGCAGTAAATACCGATGCTCCCTCGCATGAATATTGCCTACGAAGATTTACCATGGTCTCTACGTCTTGGAAGCGGGTTGCTTTTGTTCTAAGACGGCAGCATACTTGACAGGATTCCTTGCTGGATAAGAAACCAGTTGCTTTGTTCCTTAACTTAATCGTCAGCTTACCTACTGACGATTAACTTAAGATATTCAGCATAGTTGGCTTTGGTTATCTTCATAAATATACTAATAATAAGGCGCGAAGGCTGGGATACCGAAGCGTGGAAAGGTAGATAGCTTGTAAATTACTATCAAGTTATTAGTGAATGTATTCTTTTGTTTTAGGAAGCCCGACGAGAAACGCTCTAATCAGTATTCTCTATATGATATTTCTTATTTCGCGGTACCAGACGTTAAAAGAGTTATAAGATAATGGGATATAAAATATATTTTACCTCGGCATATTAACCGGATGATCTTTATAAAAGGCGTAATTACCCTTGCACTTGTTCACTGCCGAGAGTAGAATATGAAGTTGCTTTTAGGCTACTCCTATATTATTTAGAGCTTCTATTTTGATTACCACTAAGGTAACTTGCCCGTCTATTTTACAAGTTTTCCTTTCTTGCCTTTCCATCCCCTTCAGCTATCCAATTGGGAGCAGTATCATAAATACACTTCCGTTGTGTGACCACATGCATCACACGATGGATGTACTAAAGCTCCATGCCACTCTCAGACTGTGTCATTACTGAAAAATAAGGCACCCTTGCACTTCTGGTCCCGAAACTCTGTTGAACCATCTGCGACCAATTCGACGTACTCCTCATTGTCATCACCGGCGTGGAGCTGACAAGTGTACCTTTGCAGAGGCCCATCATTCGTCCGCTCCGTCACCTTCCGATCGACTTCGTTCTGAGCACGCAGAAGCTTGACCTTGATATCGTCGATGGCTAAGTAGGCCCGCGCACCAAGCTCGCGGTCGTAGTAGAGAGATGCAATGTGCTTGGAGATCTCCGTAGACTGCGGAGCAGCAAGGTGACAGTGGCCGATGTACCTCTTCACTTCTGGTCGGATGTCGATCGGCCTACGTATGTCGTTGGCGAAGGCAAGGAGTTGTTCGTGGAAGATGACCGCCTGTTCGCCTGGACTGAAAGGGAAAAACGGCACGATAACACGAATCCGACTGACGAACGGTGACTACCAAAATTAGTATCCAAACACGGTCCAAGATGTAAAGTGGTGACTTACACTCCATTTGCTTTTGAAGATACCTCGCAGCGTCTTCTGTAGCGGGTCAACGGGGACGTCGTATCGGTTTCGATCGTTTTGGTGCTCCATCTTTTTGGAGTAAAATTTTTGAATGGCCATGTGTCCGAGATTACTTGCTAAGATCCAGATGACTTTTGAGCAATCGATGCTGGTGTTGGTGGTACGATCGATGTAAGACCCTAAGTTCTAGTGAGTATTTTCATGGATAGGTATTGTCAAACAGGGAGCCTACCAGACTCGCAAACCCTTAGCAGCGCTTGCCAGACCTCTCCAACTGTCTTGTCGAATTCATCAAGAAAGACTGCGCATCTCTCGCCATCGTTCCTTGAGAGAAAGTTGTTAAGAGGGGATCCCTCTCTCGACCGTTGATAGCCGGCAGTCGCCCCGAAAAGCTGCCACTTATTTCTCACCTGAGCGCAGTCAATAACCATGGTTTGAACCGAAAGGAGGTCTCCCATCTGTTTTGACAGCTCCGTCTTTCCGTGGCCAGGTGGGCCTGCGAAAACCATGACGAGGGGAGTAAGGTTATTGTAGACAAACTCAGCGAAGACCTGGTCCATGATGATCTTTGTAGCTGGCCCTTGGCCAACAATGCGGTGAGGGATGTGAAAGAGAGCGTTGATCTTATGGGCCTCGGCCATTTGATTCTTCCTCGTCGTGGATTGTCCTTGAAGGCTGGCGCGGAAGAAGGAGTAGCGGTGACCCAGATGCATTGTGTCCACAAGCAGTGAGCGGTATTCAGGCTTGCACCATTGCGCGGCCCAATCCAGCTTCAATCCCTTTTGCGGCTTAGCTTGAGGGACTTCCAGATACTCAGCCCAGAGGTCCTTTGGCACAACTATCGGGTCTGTACCGTACTCAAGGAGCGTCTTGACAACGTTTGTAGAATCTGAGGTGGTCCATTTGATTAACATGATGGCAAAGGCAACAGCGGGTATACTTCCGTCGAACATCCTTGTGTTGGGCTTGGTGCCGTAATCGAGTAGGGCACGAACACACTCTGGACAGTTGCGCTCGATGGCGAAGAAAAGGACATGCCAAGACCCTGCCTCTAACAAGATCGTCATGGAAATATCAGCTCCAACCGTTGTCTTCCCATATTTCTGAAGGTAGTTCAAGATAGTCGAGAAGTCGCATCCGTGTTGGATGATTGTCGCTAGTGCTTTGCAATCGAAAGGATCGTTCCTGGTCAAAAGTTGTTTCCCATAGTCTTCAACCGTCATGGCTTCTCCAGGTATCTCCAAGCGTGGCAGCTCGAGCGAGCGAGCGATGCGCGTAAGCTCGTCTTCGGTGTCTGGGGGAAACAATGGGGTGAATATATTCTCTGTAGCTTCCATTCCTACTCCACAACGTCAATTTCCAATCTGTTCGGTCTGAAAAAGCTACTGACCAGACTTTGTGGTCTCTTTCGAACTACCGTTGGCTGGGCGCGCTTTGTGTCCCGCCGTGTCAACGATCAGCAAAGTCGATTCGGTCGCGATGGGATGTATCCTTCCAGTTTCAAGAGAGTTGAGAAGATTAGCTAGACAAAGTGCGCGTGCGATGGGTTATAATCTCAAGGGGAAGTGTTATGGCAGCGCAGCTTGTTCTAGTGATTTCCAGTATGCTTAACACATCTTGGTGGGGACTAACGCTAAATACTGAGCCTACTAACACAAAAAACTGTTTTATTCATTTCATCCAGTTGCTTGTTGCCGCTTTTTTGCTTTACCTGTGAGCGGATAACAGCGTCGCGCGGGCAAAAGGAAGTCCATTATAACCCAATAAATCGACAATAACAATTCGTGTTTCATATAAGAAGTTCACAAAGTCAAAGAAACATAAGTTGAGTATCCCCTAGAAGTGTCTAAGCACGTCGTGTCAACCCATTTATTTATTTGTAGCTATTCGTTCAGTCGTCTTTTTTCGGTCTTTTTAAATAAACCAATCGGTCACTTCTTCAGTGAGTAAGAGTTTCGCCCTTTTCTCCTTATATCTGTAGTTTATGCTACTACTCAGTCCTGTAGTGGTTACATTTCGGGAAATGCCAGTTCAAACAGTATTCCGTTAGGGTTGTGGTTTGCCATTCGTTCACAACTGGAACACTCGTTGGTATAATTTCTTTGTAAATAACTAGTTTAATCATCAGATTGAAACAAAAAAAAAAAAAAAAAAAAAAAGGCCCAGTAAAAGTACAAATAAAATAAGTAAAACAAAAACAAAAACAAAAATACAAATAAGGGGGGGGGTAACAAATAATATATATAAAAA